GGACAGAATGAACCGAGAGGTACAAATGAACAAATGGAAAATAAAGATTAACAATAGACAAAATAACAATGAAGTTAATCCACAGGATCAACAATGCTCAAAGTATGTCCTTTGACAAGAAGGATAAAATAAACATTTGGCAAAATTGGTCACAAATATAGTTTTAAAAAGGAGGGTAAAGAAGGCAAATACGCAATCTATGTAAACTCTTCCAGACAAAAAAAAGGAAGTACAGTCCAATTCTTCCTGTAAGGACAGAATCATCTCAATACCAAACCAGACAAGGATATGAAAATAACCTGAGCAGAAATGAAGCACATCCTATGTAACACATTAGCAAATGGAATCCGATGTTGACATCATGGCCAACTTGGACTATGGTCTATAATCAGAAAGTGTATGAAGTTATTTATCACGTTCTTACTGCCACCAAGTCGATATTAACTCATAACAACCCATAGGACAGGGTAGAACCGTTATTTATCACATTAGAGAATTAAAACAGAAAAAAACATAATATTATCCCAATAGATGACTCAACATTTTAATAAAATTCATGACACATTTAGGATAAACATTGCTAGCAAAAGAAGAATAGCCAGGAATATAATTAAGCTGATAAAGGACTTCTATAGAAACCATAGTGCAAAAATATTTCCAAATGGTGATATATTTGAAGCAATTCCTTTGATTTCTGGAACAAGAAAATAATGTCTATGCTCAATGCTTCTACTCAATATTAGATTGAAGCTTCTAGCAAGTGCACTAAGGCAAAAAATGATGGGAAAAATAAATGCAAGATATAATTACTGGAAAGAATGAAAACAAAATTTTCATTTTGAATTACTCAATACTAGAAATATTAAGAGAATTCACAAAAGTGGATAGGTATGAGATCAATAACTAAGATCAACTACATTTGCAAAGGGGCATCAGAAAGTTTATGGAAAATAAAATAAAAATATAATGAAATGTTTCCATCAGCTTTTTGAAGCCCCCTCATATATATCCAACAACTAGAAAATGTATTTTAGAAGTAAAAGATACGATGTAAAATAATAATAAAAATATGATTTCTAGGCATACATATAAAATAATTTGTGTAAGATCTTAGAGAGAAAATAATACAGCTTTACTAAATGGTACTAAGGAATAACTAATAGATGAAAAGATATGCCATATTCAAAAATTAGAAGATAGTATTACAAAGTTGTTAATTAGTCTCAAAGCATTCAATAATTTTAATGCAATTCCAGTGAAGATCCCAGTAACTTAAGACACTGGACCTGAAATTTATATGAAAATCAAGGGGGGAAATTGCCAAGATAATTCTGAATAAAAAGGGAGGAGGAGCTATCCTATCAGATATCAACTTTTGTTATAAAGCTACAGAATTGATATTGTAGGATATTGGTACGGGCCAGAAAAATCAATCCCATTGAAACAGAACAGAGAGCCCAGAAACAGACTGATGTATTTGTGGAAACTTGATAGATGAGCAATTTGGCATGATTGATTACTGAAGAAAATGGGGTGAGACAACAGGTTAACATGTACAAGAGTCAATTCCCAACACATCACAGACTCAAAGTAAAGGGGAATAATTCAGGAAGTTTAAAAGAATGTATTGGACAATCTCTTTATGACTTTAAGCAGAGAACGACTTTTAAAATAAGAAATAAAAAGGGCTAACCATTAAAAAGATGTGTGAGGCCAGTACTAATTAAGAGCTTTTGTTTAAAAAGATAGCACAAAGATATTGCAGCAACTCCACTGTGTTGTAATACGGCTGCCCTTTGTTTCTGCAGCCCAGGAACAGAGAGGAAAAAGGGGGTTGCTAATCTCAACGAGTGTGGTAGGACCTTATGAGTCCTTTCAGTGACTCCCCACCGAATCACATGACCTACAGCTATGAAGGACCTCAATCGGTAAGTTTTCTGCTGTGGGGAATGGAGAAATGAGTGCCTGGTAAATGCTTACCCATCAGGGTAAAGCTGGTGTCTCAGAATAAAGTGGTGTAGTGATATACCTATGGTTTGACATACGTCAAGCCAAGAGGCATTCCGCAGCCAAAGTCGAATCCGTTTTCAACAAAAGCCTGTGGAGCACCTGCTATGGTGCCAGGCACTGGGAATCCACGGATAAGCAAGCACAGCCCTCAACTGCACCTCCCGAATGTTTATAGTCTTAGTAAAAGACACACACACACACACACACACACACACACACACACTTCACTGCCATCGAGTTAATTCTGCCACACACTGGGAAGAGCTACCTGGAGCTCACCTAAATAATAAAAGATTAATATCCAGGATTTAGTAAGAATGTCTGTAAGTCAAGACAGAAAGAATGAGCATGCCACTGGACACGGAGCAAAAGACATAGATGTCTCATAGAAGAGACACACAAATGACAGACTGATTCATGAGAAAGCATCTAGCTTCATTAGCAATTGGGGAAATACAAATTCAGATTGCAACACGATGCCCTTCTACTCAGTAGCAAATAACAATTAAGAAATTGATATTATACCATGAATAGGATGTAGACAATGGGACTTAAATACCTTGCGGGTATATAAGTTGTTCCAACCACTGTAGAAAAGCATTTGGCAGTAATTTGTGAAGTTGCACATTTACATGCCCTGTGAGGCTATCAGAACTATTCCGAGGTAAGTACGGGGCAGAAACGCTTAACATAAATACCAGTGAAACAAAGCCCACACAAACGGAAATGTTCACCAACAGAAAAGAAATTGTAGCCACACAGATGAGCCTGAATGAATCTTAAAAGGATATTGAGTGAAAAAAGCAAACACAAAAGACTTTTAAAAATGTGTTATTTTTATAAAAGCTCAAAAAAACTTGCTAAAAAACAACTTATTTAGAATACACAAAAAATGTAAAACTTATTTTCAAAAGGGCTAAGGGCATGATGTTACGGCGATGGCGGGACAAGCAGATGGGAATGGGTATTGATTATGTTCTAGTCTTGGGATTTGGTAGTAGATTCTTGGAGTTTATTTTGGTATGTTTCTTCATCTACGTCAGAGCTTTTCAGTCTTGGCACTATTGGCACTTTGGATAAGTCTTTGTTGTAAGGGGCTGTCCTTTGCATTGTAGTGTGGCTAACAACATTCCTGACCTTTCCTCCCTAGATGCCAGAAGCCTCGCCCACCATTTATGACAACAACAATAACTACAAATGCCTCTTGCCAAATGTCCCCTGTGGTTGAGGACCACTAGCCTGCGTATGTATATTTGAGTTTCTTAAATTTCCTATGCTAAAACAAAGTTTTATAATGATGACTAAAAGTTTCACCCTGTCTGTGCAGCACAAGTAGGAACTGATTGTTAGTGACTGAGGCATCTAGAGCCTGCGGAGGGCCTTTGAAGTGACAGGGGAGAGCAGCTTGAGCCGACAGTTTCAGGAGGGCCGTGACTAGCAGGTGATATTTCTAGAAATGATCCTGGTATCAGGAAATCAAGGGCTCCATTGACATTGGAGAAGAGTCTGCAGCGTGTCTCACGTCTTGGGGATCGCCAAGGCTTGCGTTCGCCTTTTCAACGGGGACATGTCATTTATCTTTGTTATATGTTTGTCTGTTTTTCGGTATATAAAACCTAGGATTAAAAAAAGAAACCAAAAAAAAAACCCCCCAAACCCCAAAACCTAGGACTGATGAACCTGTAGAGAAAACAACCAGAAAAAGGATTGCTGGGGGTATGGTAGGGGAGGTGGGGGTGGAGGGGAAGGAGAGCTGGTATCAAGGAGTTCAAGAAAGAAGACAATGTTTGGAACTCATTGTGGCAGCAATTGTACACTATTGCTTGCTGGGATTGAACTATGGAATGATATGATGTGTGCATTAGCTGCTAATAAAATGGTTTTGGGGGAAAAATTTAATGGGACCTTCTGTTTATATAATCCCTTTCTTCCAAAGAAATAAGAGGCCTATATATTTCACTATATTTCATCTTTGGGGCATCCCTTTAAATGGTTAATTGTAAATTGAAAGTCACCCACATCTAACTGTGACCCCCTCCATGATTTGGATAACTCTAGGAATAAGATCCAGATAACATTAACACCACTACTCTAGAATAATGAGTACCTGAGATCCCACACTTAGTAGTTCATATGCCTTATAAATCTGAGCGGCTTCCCAATTCCATGGTTCTAGTCTATAGCATCCCTTTGGTGCTTATCCTTCTACTACAGGCTCATTAAAGTCCTCATGGAAAGAGTTTCATAGCGACCCTATAGGACAGGGCAGAACTGCCCCTGTGGGTTTCTGAGACTGTGATTCTGTACGGTATGGAAAGCCTCATCTTTCTCCCACAGAATGTTTGGTAATTTCAACCTGCTGAGCTTGTGGTTAAGCAGCCCAATGCTTAACCCATGACACCACTAGGGACCCTGTTGAATCAGAATGGCTCAAAAGCAGTGAGTTTGGTTTGAATTTGGGAAGAGTTTATTACCCTCACTTTAAAAATGAAGAAACAGACAGATGCAATGAGAATAAATTACTCCCCCCACCTAGTAATATCATCAGGAATAAATTAGAAATAGAGTTATAAGGAAATTCGGGCCTCCTGAGTCTTGGACACAGTGCCTTAACTCTTGGGCTGAAAATATTCAGGAGGCTCTGAAATGTGTTTATGGTTGTGAAAGTGTGCTGTGTGTGTGTGTTTCTCTGAGGAAAAGGTGTCAAGGTGACAAAACCAAGGTTGGAAGAGACAAGCTAGGAGGGTCGTGGTGGAAACCTGCAGATTCAGACAATGCTTTGGACAACTCCTTCCTAGTTTTCGGCATCTGTAACTGTAAAACACTTGCAGAATGGTTGCAAACACTAACTGAAACCTTTGGAAGCACTTTAAGATTCTGTGTGCACGTATTTGTGATTGTCATTAAACTCATGATTTTAAGTATCACGTGGATGAGAAAGCAGCCCTCATAGGACGGATGGCTCCCATTTTCCTGGTTCTCGTTCTTACCATACGTCCAGTTCGGAGGAATACTCAGTGGCTCCCAGCAAGGCATCCGGAGGGCGGTACCAGAGGGTGACCACTTCTGAAGAGTAAGTCTGACTGGGAATGGACTTGGCCCGAGCAAGACCTGTCCAAAGGCGAAAAGCACAGAACACTTTGTCCTGGGTCATCCTGCAGACACGCAGGGGTGCATACCTCCAGGACAAGTAGAACTGGTGGGCCACAGATTCAAAATAGTGTACAAACTGTGGGTGCTTGTAACAGGCCTTCCTAGCTCTTGTGCCCCCTGTGCACCTTTTCGGGGAACAACGATGAGGCTTTCTAGCCCACACGGACTCCCAGCATTGGAAACGTGCAGCGCCCGTTCCACTCTGTCTATACAGTCACCGTGAGTCAGAACTCGCTCGCTGTCGGTGAGTACCATTTCATCCCGGGATTTCTCAGTGACCGACCGGCTTTACAACCACATGTGGCCTTCGTGACCGTTAAGTGTGGTCAAGTAATTAAGTTCTTGCCTGTGAGATAGGAGGAGTAGAAGACTTTTTGTGTCCGTTTCTAGATCAGGTCCTTAATAGAGAGGTCAAATATTCCACTTCTCCTTTCTCTTTCCTCTGGGCTAGCATGAGAAGAAGCCACCTTGAACTAGGCAGCTGGGGGCAATACCCTTGGGATGCCGGGGCCTCATGAGAAAAAGAGCCCAAGACAAGATATCACAGGGCCCTATATATACTCTGAACTGCTTCGTCTAACTGTTAGGTAAGAGGAACTTTAGCTTCTCGATTGTTCAAGCCTCTCTACTTTCCAGTCTCTATTGCAGCAACTCCACTGTGTTGTAGTACAGCTGCCCTTTGTTTCTGCAGCCCAGGAACAGAGAGGAAAAAGGGGGTTGCTAATCTCAATGAGTGTGGTAGGACCTTATGAGTCCTTTCAGCGGCTCCCCACTGAGTCACATGACCTACAGCTATGAAAGGTCTCAATTGGTGAGTTTTCTGCTGTGAGGAATGGAGAAATGAGTGCCTGATAAATGCTTACCCATCAGGGTAAAGCCGGTGTCTCAGAATAAAGTGGTGTAGTGATATACCTATGGTTTGACATACGTCAAGCCAAGAGGCATTCCGCAGCCAAAGTCGAGTCCGCTTTCAACAAAAGCCTATGGAGCACCTGCTATGGTGCCAGGCACTGGGAATCCACGGATAAGCAAGCACAGCCCTCAACTGCACCTTCCGAATGTTTATAGTCTTAGTAAAAGACACACACACACACACACACACTTCACTGCCATCGAGTTAATTCTGACTCAGAACACCACCACAGGGCAGAGTAAAACTGTCCTTAAAGGACTGGAGACTGTAAATCTTTATGGGAGCAGACTACCTCAACTTTCTTCAACGGAGTGGCTGACGAGTTGAAACTACCGACCTTTCCGTTTCAAAAAGCTCACACTAAGTGCCATCGAGTCAATTCCAACTCACAGTGACCCTCGGGGACAGGCTAGGGCTGCTCTGTGGCTTTCCAAGATGGTAACTCTTTATGGGAGTAGAAAGCCTCATCTTTCTCCTGTTGAATGACTTGGAGTTTCAAACTGCTGGCCTTGCTGTTAGCAGCCCGAGATGTGACCTGCCAGAGCACCAGGGTTCCTCCAGCCTTGCAGTTAGCAGCCCAAGATCTCATGCACTGCCCCCCCCAGGGCACCTCTCCATCCCACTCCCCACACGCACTGCCACCGTTGGGCTCAGAGTGACCCCATAGCGTTTCCAAGGCTGTCCATTTTTATGGCAGCAAATAGCCTCATCCTTCTCTCGACAAGTGACTGGTCGGTTTGAACTGCCAACCTTGTGGTTAACAGAGCAACACTTATCTGACCAGGACTGCTGTTAAAATCCCGAAGATGAGCTGAGACCACTACAAGGAGATACCCTTTATCCTGTCATTCTGGGATAACCTTGATCTATTCTAATAGAATTCGTATATCCACTCAGCTTCTGTGAATGGACTAAGTCTAATTCCCTCCACAAGCACCACTGTATCAAAATGGCAGTGGGGATAAGGATGTTCATGTGTTCAGCATCGGATTGGATGGGGTCTGAGGGAATCCTAAGATACTACCAATGTCTGGCTTCACCCTCCCTCGAGGGTAGCTTGATATCCCCTCAAAGCATCCTATTCCCTTGACCTCCAGTTTTCAAAGGCCAGGCCTAGTCAATGCGTTACACATGTGCACACAGAGGCATCATTGTTCACGGGCCAGGAGGAGGCCCGAGGGGCGACTTACCGAAATCAGCCAGCTTGAGCTCTCCCAGGTGACTGATGAGCAAGTTCTGAGGCTTCAGGTCCCTGTGAAGGACGTGTTGGTGGTGGATGAACGCCAGGCCCCGCAAAAGTTGAAACATAAAAAGCTGGAAGAAATGAACACCGTACTAAGCAGATTCGAGCCACGATGCGTTGAGTTCCCCTCTAAATCAGAAACAGTCGTGGGGAAGAATAGAGTCAAAGTGTCTCTTGAGAAACTGAAAATAAGTGAAGATTTTTACATGGAGGGGTCGGGAGTGGGGGGTGTACGGGAGGGAGGTAGAAAGCATGGGGGAAGGCAAGCAACGAGACCATGTTTTAAACAAAGGAATTCTGGCTTTTTCCTAACATCTCATTTCTTTGATAATGAGGGAATTACTCGGCCGTAAAAATCAACAGTGAGACTTTGAAGTTTCATTTGGAGAACACTAGTTATTGATTTAAATGTAAAAGATTAAAAAAAAATTTTTTTTGTTGTTCCCCCCACCAATGAACTTGGATTTAAGATAGAAGTTGACTTGGAAATTATATTCTAAGGTTTACAACTACTTCAGTTCTTTAGGCTCTCTGACATGAAACCCTTTAAAAACATAACACAAGGAGATCAGACTGGGAAATGTATCCTTGGAAAGTATCAGGAAATAAAGGAATCATTATCTTTTTTAAACCTATTTTTAAAGTCTTAAGTTCAAAGTTGAAGACAAGGGAAAAATACAGTGAAGATTAAGAGAGACTTCTTTCCACACCCCACCCCGTGGTGCCCCAAAATATCAAAAGAGGAAAAAAGAAATAAGTATAGAGGGAAGAGAAGAAAGATAAAAAGGAAATAAATAAATAAATACACAGGAAAAATGCTGAAGCCAAATTGTCAGACGTTTAGTGTGGGTTATGAGGCCCAGAGACCAAAGGTACCACTAGAAATCCCCCCACTATTGAAGCTTAAGGAATAAAAAGAATTCTCAGTATTCCAAGTGTCTTCTGCTCTTTGCCGGGGCCACTGGCAATTCACTTCCCACGCACACCAAGGCCTGTACCAACTGGAAACATGTTCTGGTGGCTTAGAGGAGGGAGACCCGCTCCAGCATTCCTGGGGACACAGGCAACGTGGCAGAGGCAGGGCTGTGTGGCTGAATCCTCTTTGTCTCCCTCATCACATCTTGCAAAGTAGGAACCTCAGAGATGCCAGGCCCTGTACCAAAATAACAACATGGAGACGCTGGAGCCAAGTAAATGAGCAGCATGCTCTGGTGCTGAACTAGGAGCCTGGGGACCCACCTGTCACTGCACACCTGCAGCCCTGGGTGTGCATGCAGGTTGCACAGCAGGTTCACAAGGCACTTAAGAGTGTTCAGAATGTCGTGTGACCCTTCCAATAGTCACCGACTCTGTAAGTCTCCCCAGTGCTTTCTCTTCCTGGTGCTTCACACACACGTAAGTCTCCCCAGTGCTTTCTCTTCCTGGTGCTACACACACACACACACACACACACACACACTTCATTTTACCACTCACCAAACCACCAAGCTACCAGAGCACAAGGTTTGTATATTGACATTTAAACCCCTCCGCTTGGTTATAACTATAAATGATCATGGAAAAGATAATATAAAGAATCAGTTCAAATTCCAGGAAAGAGATATTATAATGTGTGCTTAAAAATTGGATATTTTTTTAATACAAAGAGAGTCAAGAAAGAAGGAACTGGAGATAGGCCAGAAACAAAAGGCAGAAGGGTGGGACAGGTGAGAGAGCGGTGACTGAAGAACAGGAGAAACAGCCAAGTTTGATGCCTGCTGTCTTTTGTAATCCTTAACACAACCTTGTGAGGTAGAGAGGTTTGCTCATGCTTTGCAGATAAGAAAACTAGGGTTCTAAGAAGTCTTAAAAACATGTCTAGGGAAAGTCAGGGCCAGGACTCAAATTCAGACTTGCTGGACCCCACTCCACCCTCTTAAGAAACTGTAGCAAAGATGGAAAATGAAAACACGACAGGGGAGGAGCGAGTCCGAGTGGAGCGTCTCGTGGGTTGGCCGGAAATGTCTTTCCTGTGCCAGGTCAGACTGTTAGTCACAGCCACCTCCCTCCACCTTGTTCTTCCGTTCCTTTCCCCTCTGCCTTCACACACGTCTACAAGCACTTGTGAGAGGGAACGTGCTGAGGTGCTAAGGTAAGGTTTGGCATGGCCGCCACCTCCCCTAACTGCTGTCTGTGCTGACGAACCTCACCGCCCACTCACTCTTTCATCCTTACAACCTGGATTCTTCCTTCTGCTGAAATGTCATAATACAACCAAGTCCGATGGGGTTTTCTCAGTAAACATCCAGCCAGATGTGGGTGACTCTTTCCATAGAGGCTTCTCATACCCCAGCAGTTGGCCCTGTTTCCAATCTCATAGGCTCTTGGTAACAAAATAATGCCAATGGGCTAATGCCATTTGGGTTAGAAATGTTTCAAAAACGCAGTCAGCACCAATTCCTCATAGGAAAGTTTATATCCTTTCACCCATGAGAGATTCTTGGAGCTCATTCTTGGGAAATGGGAAATAAGCTAACCTCACAAGAATCCCCAAGCACATCTTCCTTGGTTATCACTCAAACTCTGATAAACCTTCTCCACCCCTCCCCTCTTACTGCTCTGTTTCCTCAGTCTACCTAGTATCCATTCTCTGGCTCTCTCCCCCGTACTTTTTCAATGTTCACTTTCCATGCCTCCATCGTGGTTTAAGAAGTCCCTACAAGCTAACACTAATGACAGAAGACCTGCTGTGCTGTGGGATGACAGCAAGAACATCAGTTATGAAGAAAGAACGTGGTCCCGACAAAGACAGGAAAGAAAGCAGAGATCAGCGTGGACGTCAGGAGAGACTCTGAGGCTTGCTCTTCATGGGAGAGCAGCAAAGGCAAATGGAAGAAATGAAGACGGGAGCTGAACAGAACGTTTCAAACAGCAGCTTGAGAAGACAAAGCAAAATGTAATGAAATGTGCAAAGACCTAGAGTTAGAAAACCTAACAGGAAGAACGCACGCAGCACATCTTAAACTGAAAGAGCTAAAGGAAAAATGCAAACCTTGAGTTGAAATATTGAAATACTTTATGGGAAAAATATTAAACGTTGCAGGAAGCATCAAAAGAAAATGGAAACAACACGCAGTGTCACTGTGCTGAAAAGAACAAGTTGACAACCAACCATTTCAAGTGGTCGCACATGGGCAAGATCCAATGGTACTGAAGGGAGAAGTTCAAGCTGCACTGAAAGCCTTAGCCAAAAATAAGGCTCCAGGAATTGCTAGAATACCAATTGAAATGTTTCAACAAGTTCACAAAGCACTGGGGACCCTCACTCGTCTGTGCCAGGAAATTTGAAAGACACCTACTTGGCCAAGTGACTGGAAGAGATCCACATTTGTACCCCTTCCAGAGAAAGACAACAGCAGAATGCTCAAATTATAGAGCAGTATCATTAAAATCAAGGAGCCTTAATGGTGTGGTTATGTGTTGGACTGCAATCTGCAAGTTCAGCAGTTCAAAACCATCAGTGGCTCCGAGGGAGAAAGATGGGGTTTTCTACTCCCATAAACAGTGACAGTCTTAGAAACCTACAGGGGCAGTTCTACTCTGTCCTGCAGGCTCTGGGAGTTGGTATTGACTCGATGGCAGTGAGTCGTTTTGTTCTTATCATTAATATCACATGCAAGTCAAGGTTTGGGAAAGATCATCAACAACAGTTGCAGTCGTACATTGACGGGAAATTGCCAGAGGTTCAGGCTGGATTCAGAAGAGGACCTGGAACAAGGGATATCACTGCTGACATCAGATGGATCTTGGCCGAAAGCAGAGAATACGAGAGAGATGTGCACTTATATTTTGTTGACCATGCCAAGGCCCTTGACTGTGTGGATCATAACAAACTAACCTTGAGAAGAGTGGGAATTCCAGAACACGTCATTGTGTTCATGCAGAACTTATACATGGATCAAGAGGCAATTGTGCACACAGAACAAGGTTTAAAATCAGGAAAGTTTGTTGTGGTAGTCGTGTAATCTGGTATCAGTTTGAGGATTAAGATTGAAGAGGTGGAGTCTAGTCTGTCAATCAGATCATAGCCAATGAGACTTCTGTGTGGATATGGCCTTCCCCTAAGGATTCTGGGAATTCCAGTATTTCCTCCTTGGAGGCGGGAGACACTCTTTCTCTGCTCACTTCCTATGAGACATCTCTGAGGAGAAGCCACATGGACCAACCCTGACGTAGTCAGAACCCTGGACCTGGAGAAACCACGAGTCCTGAGATGCTCACAACACCACTGGATCCAAAGAATTTCTATCCATTGGCCTGTGATTGTCCTGCATTTGGCATCATTGCATGTGATTTGTGAGTCTGAAGAGGACTTTATAGATTGGTGTCCGACATATGGGCTAAGATCGGATTTAGGGGCTTAGACTGGACTTGGTTGGGATGCTTTCTTAATGTATAATTAATTACCCTTCATATAAAACTCTCTCCTATACACATATGAGTTTCTATACACATACAAGTTTCTATAGATTTGTTTCTCTAGTCTATCAGACTAACACAGTTGTGGATTAGGACTGTATTTTCTCACCATACTTATTCAGTCTATATGCTGAGCAATTAATCAGAGAATCAGGGTTATATGAAGAAGTATGGGACATCAGGATTGGAGGAAGGCTTATTAACAACCTGTGATATGCAGATGACACAACCTTGCTTGCAAAAGAGGAGGACTTGAAGCACTTGCTGATGAAAACCAAGGATGACAACCTTTACTAAGGATTATAAATCAATGTAAAGACAAGCAAAATCCTCACAACCGAACCCATAGATAACATCATGATACATGGAGAAATACGGAAGTCGTCAAGGATTTCATCAAGAGATCAAAGGACACATTGTATGGGGTAAATCTAAAAGACCTTTTAGAATGTTGAAAGCAGAGATGACATTTTGAAGACCAAGTTGCGCCTCCCACAAGCCACAGTGTTCCAATGGCTTCATATGTATGTGAAAGCTAGACATTTAATAAGGCAGACTAAAGAAGAATCCAGGCATTTGAATTGTGGGCCGGCGAAGACTATCGAAAGTACCA